CCCTCCCGCACTATGAAAGTTACAAGACACGTAAACATATTGCCGTACATCTTCCCCTTACAGGTGATATTTTACACTTTTACGCAGTGTTTCAGCAAAGGGGACAAAGAGGAGTGCAAGGTCCATTTCGAGCCATGGCTCTAAGCAGGTCATACACTTGTTGCGTTTTGGCTAAGTCTGAAATTCAAGCTGTATGTGGCTCAGGTGGCTCCATGTAACAAAAGTTGATTGTTTACTCAACTTTTGTCGAAAGAGACAGTCTGAAAATTTTCACCTGAACAATGATGCTATCAGGTATTCTGACAGCGGCTATAGAATAGCGGCTATAGATGTATCCACGCTAAACAGATTGGATGGGGGAATCAAGCAACATAGACAAATGTATGGTGACATGGGACTTTAGGCTGCATCTAGGGATTCCTGCCGCAAGACCCTATGGATTCTCGTGGCAGGAATCCCAGGTGTGTCCCTACAGATGCAGCCGCTGTGCCCATTCAAGTTAATGACAGCGTGACAGCAACTGCATCATCAATGGTACAATTATCTGTGGTGCGGGATAAATGATTGTCCCTGGATATAATCTGTCTGCATAGAAGGAAAAGCATCTCTCCTGATCGATTACATGCGGTCAGCTGCTGACAGATGCGGGAGCTGTCATCCTGTCATTCACTTAAATGGGCACAGCGGTCACACCTGTACCAACACACTTGGAATCCTTAGCCACCGTGTCAATGTAGTCTAAAACCATTTAACCACACCAACGTTTTGTCACAGCGCATGCCACTTTCTTATCACCCTATAAACTCTCCTCCCAGGTTTACATCCCTGACACAGCGTAATGTCATCTACTAGCAAGATGTGAAGATAGGTCACCAGCACTTTGCAATGCAAAGAAAATATTGTTTATTGCAAATAACCACTAAGGTCAAAATTACTAACGTTTCGGGGCCGTGCAGGGTCACTTCCTCAAGACGACACAGTGATGATGTCACTGTGTTGTTACTGTGTCGCCTTGAGGATGGGACCCCGCGTGGGACCCTACTCTCTATTCATTTTGGAGTGCTGGTGACATATCTTTACATCTCTGAGGTTTTGCACGGCTCATCCGTGGCAGTCACTTCGAACACCTACCTACACTGGGCACAACGCTGTATGGTGTGCGGCAGGCACTCTCAACAATCTACTAGCAAGATACATGCTTAGGAGCTTTGAGGGTTAATGAAATCATAGCTATAATGTCCCCACATTATCCTTTTGGCTGTTTGCGCTGGCAGGGACAGCTTTGTCCGTTCACGGTCACAAGTCTGCGCTGGCTATCACCACATTTTTTTGTACAGATATACAATGACCTGGATGAATGAGAACCTTCACAGACATATCACCACACTGACTTAAAGGAATTTACTGAGACAGTCTCCAGTTACACTGATGAAGTAGCTGCTCCAAAAGTTACTTTCACAAAGCAAACGTGCCCCCTCGAAAGCCCTGCTTTTACTACTGGGGACAAAAGACGCAAGTGATTCCTCCCGCCCCCACTTCTTCCTCCCCAGCAAGCTGGGAAAGTCCTCCTCATACACAGAAGGGGGCAGGCTTCAGCATCACCTCCACAACATTACATTGTCAGGTCTGAACACTCTTATGTCATTCCACACAGGAGTGAGCTTTTTTTTTTTTTTTTTTTTTTAACTTCTTGAAAATGCTTCCTTATGGGGCTGAGTCTGATTGACAGCATGCAGTGGAAAGCTGACTATATAAGTGAGTGAACTGTTCTCTATTATCCATTCTAGACAAGGCTCCCCATACGTGCAGTTGGCTGCCTCTACAAGGAAGGAACAATACTTTTGCTTTTTAAGTCATTTGAAGGTCTTTTTTGTTTGATTTCTGCCTTCGTTCTGATTTTTGGATTGGGAAAAGATCAGGTTTTATGAAGCTTGTAACAAAAAGAGGTAAGCTTTCTTTGTCTTTACTTTTGTCCCATCCATGGTACCTTTTTATTTTATGTGTTAAGGGAGATCAAATATGTGCTGAGCAGATGGGGAGAGTTTTATTTTTACTTTTTATCATGTGTTTTTAGTTTTAAAAAAAACAACAACAAAAACAAATCTGTAGGCAAATGAAAAGCAGCAAAGAGCAGCTTGCACTGACTTGTTAGCTGTTGGTGGTACTGCTTGCTGGGAGTTGTAGTGCTTTAGTTTCATAACTTGTAGTTTTTTAGTTTCATATTCATTTCCAAATTATTTTACATGCTTGGGGGAAAAAACTATCTGGCATTTAAATTTAAACTATGGGCAACATCGAAACCGATATATAGGAGTCCTATAGTTTAATAACTTGTAGTCCTTTAGTTTCAAGGATTTATAATAATTCCCAAATAATTTTTAATGCGGGAGGCAAACTATCCGGCATTTAAATGGGCAAAATAAAAAATGACTTATATGAGTTCTTTAATTTCATCATAATTTCCACATTTTTTGTTACCCGTGGGGCAATGTAAATTGGAACTATGGGCAAAATAAAAAAAATGACATATATGATACAGTATGTCAGTAACATTAACACAGCAGGCTTTTTTTTTAGTCCCCCCATTAATGTTGTTTTTTACCTGTAGCCAATAGAGCTTCCTTTAACAGGGTGACAACACTGGCCGCTCTACAGTGAAATCGTGCCATAGTGTTGTCACCCTGTGGACAGGGTATTCTTAGATGGAGATGTTTTAAATAGACTTTAAGTAAAGGACAAATTTAGCTCTAGCTAACATTATTTAAGCTGTAAAGCTGGTCACACATGTGGCCATTTTCATGTATTTTCCAGCACTTTCAAGCCACGGGGATCACAAACATGATCACAAGTAATCGCCAGAGTCCTAACACTCACACACTCACAAGTTTAATTAACCACCAATAGTTGGTCGATTGAAAAGTCAAAACTAAGGTAGAAATTAACAGCTTCAATATCGTTTATAAATCAAATGGAATCAACCAGGACAAAACGAGAGCAATTTTGGCGAATGCAATTGGACTTTTTTGCTGCGTTCGATTGGGCCATTTTTTATCCCATATCATTGTTGTTAAATAAAAGCGTCATTTTTGCTTTTGGTTTTTGCGATTTTGATAAAAAACTTCAATGTTCCTAGTAAATTTTTACGTGTATGGCCAGCTTTAACTGACTGACTGTTATAAGCAACCCTGGAAGTGTTATATGGTTTGTCCCAGCCTTCATCCCTACTGATTTTGCTGGACAGCTTAATTTGCATGTAAATGTGGAGAGATATGTAAATATAGACATGTGAAATAAAAAAATGAATTCATATACTGAATGCTATTATTAAAAGTATTTACCACATACAGTTAACAGAATACAATAATTTGGGGGTTTATTGGTCCTTTAAGAGCTGTTAAGATTTAATACTGTTGATGTTTCTACTAGAGTTGAGGTTTACTGGATGTGAGAGTCACTGGATTCTTTGACTATTACAAACGTTACTGGGCTCTGATAGCCCATAACTGGCCCTAAAGGGATGCAGGGGGAGACCGCTCTGTGGTATACACTATAGCACAGTTACCAGGGAGATACTATAGAGTCAGTTACAATGGAAGGGGGTATATTATTAACCATCTCTTGTGCATAGATTGTAAGCAGCATTTACTTTATTCTTTAAAACATTTACTTTTTGTTCATCCTATGACCTGTAGTTTTCAATCTGACAACATTTGGCTGCCTGGAGGACTGCTGGGTTTCTTCCAATTTCATTTTATTGGTTTAGGAATGGACACGCAATCATTAGTAAAGTAGAATCATTTTCGCTTATAGTGCAAATTCTTTTCTGGACAGTATCTGGCAGGTTTTTTTTCTTTATACTAGAAAGTGTGTTCTCTAAATAAGAGTTTGAAAATGATCTTCTAAAAAGTAGCTAGTAGTGTGGACAGCCTTAGGAAGTAGCCTGTATTAGACAAAAATGTAATTTAACATTTGGGCTAAGCAGAATAATGCAAGAAGGTGTAAATGTTGTTACTAATTTGTCATTATCAACCTGTATTGAGATTTATCATGAAGCCATAGGTTTATCAGATGCATTTTTGTATCCGTTATTACTCTAGTCCAGTATTTAATAAGCCAGTAAAAAGTAATTCAGCCAACAGTTTGAAAATGATGGTATGGAGACCCAAGTGGTTTTCCAGTTAGTTTCTATGCTATAGATCTAGCCTGAGAGCTACAGTCTAAGCAGATTAAGCTGGTTATGCCTTCTCACAGTTGTGTATACTGTATTTAAACAATATTGTTACAGGTTACAAATGTCAGGTTACAAAAATTAAAACCTGACATTACCTTCTTGTGGCAGTGTGCTTCTCTTGAATTCACTATTAGTGGAACGTGCTACAATTTACAAAATTGTGTAGACTTTACCAAAGTCTGTACTTAATGATGCCTGAAATCATTATCTTGTGCTTTGTGTGTAACTGGAAAAATTAGGGGATGAATTACTAATGGCTGCTTTGTTTCTGAGCTCAGTACACTAGTAAGCTTGCTATCTTGTAGACAGCCTGGTCTTCCATCCATGTACAACCCTATGACCCCTAGCACCTTGAAAGTAATTATCTATCTTTATGTTAATGAAATTGGTTGCCGTAATGTACTTCCTCTTGCATATCACCATTCTTCTTAACCCAAATTATTGGATGGAGTTGATGTGAACAGCAGACTGGGACTTGCTTAGTACTTTTTTTATGTGACTTTCTTAAAGCAACCACATCAGGGGATAAAAATACCCAAACAGCAACACTGTGAGAAAGAGGTAGGTTGATACCGGTCCAGTTGATGGTTCACTGAAACTTTGCTCATACCGAAACTATCCGTCACCTCTGGTGTGTCGAATAGCACATTCCCTTGCTAGCTGCTGTGGTTCTTCCCTCAAACTCCTAGACACCTCAGGACATAGTAGTGATGTAGAGGTCAGTGGAAGAAACAAGCTTGCATTCATCAATTCAACTATGCATTCTGCATTGTACCAAAGTGTGCTTGATGAGAATCAGGCCTTCTGTCTGAAAGTTCAAGTTGAACTGGAAATGCATATTTCAATTGGACATTGATCTCAAGCACACTAGCAGATCCAACTCCCCTATGTTATGGAAAGAGGGAGAGGGGTAGATGTTCTTTAGTCCTAACACAATTGCTGTCCTAGGGTTACATTGCTGCTCTTCCATATATACAGTAAAGTGAGTGAGCAGTGTCACTGTAGGAAAGGAAGTATGTTACCAGCCAGATCACTTGGTGAAAATTAAGGAAAAAATAAATCTAAGGTGGCCACCACATCCAAAGGGCTGGTATGCTGCAATATAGTCTTGGGTTTAGATACACTTTAACTTAAAGAAAAGTATATTCAATCCCTAATATGATTTTGTAGGCCAAGGTGCAACCATGCCATGAGCATTATTGCCTCATACAGGTTGGTCTCATGTAGATAGACACTCATGTCCTGCTCTTAAAAGAGAACTATTGGATTAGTGTTTTTCCCCACAGTTCCCTTTAGGGTCACCGGAGGATATATACTAACCTCCTTCCGTGACCCAAAGCTCAGTATATGGCGGGCTATTGCCCGCCATATACTGAGAGCGCTGAAGCCGGTATAAGATCCGGACAATACTGTCTAGATCCACCCAGCTTCGTGAGCATTTGAAACACACATCAAATGTAGGTAAGCACATTCTAAGGGCCAGTGTAGACCTGGGCGATCCAGTTTCAATGGGGGTACACCTGAGGTGATTTCAATGGGGTACATCCGTGTGGCAATCACAGAAAAGAGGTGCATGTACCTTTTTTTGTGATACATGACGTGTGGCGCGTTAAAAAATAATGGCACCGCCAGCGCGATCGTCAGTGGTGGGCGACTCCATGACCACGTGGCAATCCACGCGGTATTGTGCGCGCAGTCTAATATGCTTCAATGGTGTAGTGTGGTTGGCAGTAGACATGTGAGATTCATTTCAGAAAGATTTGTTATTCGGACGAATTTTCGTTATTCAGAGATATATCCAAATCTCCGAATGACAGAAATGATGAATGAAAACTAATCCTAATTTCCGATAACAAAAATTTCGGACAAATTAGTTAGCGGTAGTCTGTACAAATTTTCTTTTTTGGATGAATTTTCCTTGCAGCAATGTGTGACATTAGACAAAAGAAAAAAAAAATGCCTTTTTAATTAAAGGGGTACCCTGATGCTAATAAACCCAACCCAAATAAATCACAACAACCGGGTCAGGGTTGGGGGAAGAGGCCCTTGTCCCCATCGGCATAGGGACACTTGTAAGGTTCCGGGAGGGGGGGCGCTTGATCATCCCCCCCTTTCCTGCCCTGCCGGGCCTGTGCTCGGATCAAGCGTCTGGTAGGAATTTTAGGGGGAGCCCCATGTTTTTTACCCCATTTTTGGGGGGTGGGGTTCCTCCTTAAAATTCCTACCAGACCTAAAGGGTCTAGTATCAATTGGGGGGGGGGGGGGGAGGACCCCACGCTTTTTTTTCTCTTCTGCAGACTGTAAAAAAATGTTTTCACTTTGCTGCAACAAAACTCGGGTCCGAAACAAATTGACTTTCGGACCCGAATCCCAAAAAGTTAAATAACGGAAAACCTGAATGAAAATTAAAGGAAACACATTATTTTTTGCTGGGGAACATGTCTAGATGGTAGTTCTGAGACCTTGTTTGACCTGCTTTGCATTGTGTTTCTTTGGACCCTGCAGGTGCATTTGTATTGTGGGCAAAGCAATGAAAACGCAATCTTTTGCTGCGTTTTGCATTCAACCACCAGTGTTTGAGCAGTGCTGCTTTTCTAATTCAAAGTGCAATGTTTCAGAGCAATGCTCAAACCCTATTGTCTTTTAACTCTTGAAAAGAACAACAAGCACTAATAACAGAAAAGGGTTCACAAACTATATAAAATTGATTTAAAA